CTCTCTCTCTCTCTCTCTCTCTCTCTCTCTCTCTCTCTCTCTCACACACACACACACACACACACACACACACACACACACACACACACACAATTTTGTTGCCGTATAGTTTCGGCAAGGCACTGTGTGATAAAACGGCGGTTCAGGGTTCCGTACGAAACTATACTTCGGCAAGGCACTGTGTGGTACCACAGCCTTGCCGATGAAACGGGGGTTCGGGGTTCCATACAGAACTCAATTTAATTCAATTATTTAATTTATTTGAGTGTACTTCGGCAGGATGTGGTACCGGACATAGGAATAGGCAGAAGCGATCAAAACTATAAGAGGCAAGGTGTACGGCCACTTTTCCGAGTCTTTCGACATATTAAACGCATTTGTCATACCTTCCTGAAGATTCCGTACAGACAGATGAAACCGGCAGAAGGGCTACATTATCGTTTTGGGAGATCTGGCTATGGTGGCGTATGGTGTTGGGCATGGCCGATTACGAATCGTTTTGCTTCGACTTCGAAGGTTGAATAGGCTATGGCAAGGAGTTAATTTTGGACTTTTCTGCCAATCTTGCTATAGTAAGCTTGTCTGTTCAAAGACTGGCAATGTTGATGATGAATGTGCATGCAGGACTCCATATCCTACTGTGCAGCGTCCCCTTTTCCCAAAACGTAGATGGAGAGAGAACTGGAGGTAGTCTACATTTGTGACGCCACTAACGTTCTCACATATCAACCTTCAAACTTCGGCTGTGATATGTGAGAGTGAGAATGAGATTAGGACCTACCACTAAGTTAAACGTAGATCATAGTCGAAGAGGGAGAGAGGACTGGAGGTAGTCTACATCTGTGTGAGGATGAGGTGATGGATACAGTCTGACGGTGCTGTACGGCGTTGATTTGTAGGTCTGATGGCTATTGGAGCAGTGATCTGATTGCATAATCAATATGCCGGTCTACTGTGTACAGTGTGTTGAGTGCGGTGAGGTACGGAATACCACCAGAAATAGGGAGGCAGCGTTACATGCTACAAGGCTAATTATAGGGCTTCTAGATAACCATGTCAGTAGAACGCTCCGACCAGTCTTCTCCACAGCAAGCGTCATTTCGGAGATCCAAGGACACGGTGTCTGATGTATATCGACATCTCTCTCTCTCTCTCTCTCTCTCTCTCTCTCTCTCTCTCTCTCTCTCTCTCTCTCTCTCTCTCTCTCTCTCTGTGTATATATCGTCAAACAGAACTGCCCGGTAAACCATAGGCAGAGAGGGAGAAGAGGACAACAAACGAGGGGCTGTGACAAACTGTTTCGTCGGAGTTTCACCGACTCATCAGGAGGCTGAACCCTCGACAGTCTGCAGAATCCCCTCACTGATTACACTGTAAGTGATAATCCACCTTAACCAAAATCAAAGTAGACTATCACTCACCCACACCAGATGGAAAACTCTACAGACTGTCGGTTCACACCCCATCACAAGCCAGCAAAACACCCACGAAACAAAGAAAGGTCTGTCACAGCCAAAAAATACACTCCAGACACGCCGCTGGCACTAGAGGCACAGCATGGTCGCGTAGTGACGACAGCTCTCTTTGCCACTTCTGCACGAGTTAGGAGAGCGCTGCATCTACTACGAATGAGCGAAAAAAACTTCAAGTGGCAGCAGAAGTGGCAAAGATAGCCGAAATCTGGAGGTTTCAAACACGCAAACTCGCAACACGAGACTGCAGGAGTACACCACAGCAGCTGCAAAGATCAAGAAAAAGTAAGATCATAATTGAGGGGCGAACAGAGAAGGACTTCGGCTACCGGACGAGATGAAATTGTACGCTAACGGTGGAAATGCGGGGAACAACCGGAATGCGCGGGAATAATGATGACACCGGGAACTGGGCGGGAAGACAGGTGGGACCAGTGGGCGGGAAGTGGGCGGGAAAAGGGGGCAAATAGCCGGGGGACCGTTGGGGAGAGCGGGGACGACCAGCGCAACAACACGATGGCATACATGTCTTCTTCCGAGATGATCTTATGAAAGAGAACTTCAAGCCTTCAAGGCGGAAGAACGGAAACGGAAGGAAGAAGAGAAGCAGCAATGGATCAAAGAGGAAGAAGAGAAAAAAAAAGAGGGAGACGGAAGGGCTGAAGAAAATTTAATGTGATTACAATGGAGTTGCCCTTCCATCTCACCAGGTAG